TCGAGCCTCTGGTCGACATTCTCAACCGCGCCGAGGCCGAGGGCGCCGACGGTCCCAAGCTGATCGCGCTCGAGGACGAGTGGCTGGCCAAGGCGCAGCCGGTGCGCTACGGTGACGCCGTGGCTGCCGAGCTGGAGAAGAAGGGCAAGAAGGCCGAGGCGGAGCAGTTCCGCAAGGAGGTGCTGGGCACGTCGCTGCTCAAGGCCAAGGCCAAGGCCAAGAGCCTGGGCGTCGAGATTGGCTTTGACTGGGATGCGTGCCGCACGCGCGAGGGCTACTACCGCTACCAGGGCGGCACCGACTGTGCCATCAACCGCGCCATCGCTTTCGGTCCCTACGCCGATCTGCTGTGGATGGAGACCAAGTCGCCCATCCTGGCGCAGGCCAAGGAGTTCGCCGAGGGCGTCAAGGCGGCGCGCCCGCACCAGTGGCTGGCGTACAACCTGTCGCCGTCGTTCAACTGGGACGCAGCCAAGCTGAGCACCGAGCAGATGAAGAGCTACGTGTGGGACCTGGGCAAGCTCGGCTTCGTTTGGCAGTTCATCACGCTCGGCGGTCTGCACTCGAACGCGTACATCTCGGACCTGTTCGCGGCCGGCTTTGCCAAGGAGGGCATGAAGGCGTACGTGGAGCTGGTGCAGCGCAAGGAGCGCGAGATTGGCTGCGACGTGCTGACGCACCAGAAGTGGTCGGGCGCCAACTTTGTCGACGCCTGCCTCAACACGGTGCTCAAGGCCGCCTCCACCTCGGCCATGGGCAAGGGCGTGACCGAGACGCAGTTCAAGTAGAGACTGCGCAAGCTCCCCCTGTCTCCTGTACACTACCTTATGACTTGACTAGCTCCGTCGAATCCCAGCCCTGCATTGCTTCATATCGCGCGTGACTTGAGATGGAGTTGGCATAGGCATGGCCATGAGCGGACTGAATGATGTAAGTCAAGTCAACGCGGATCTCGGGATTGTGGCCAGGGGAAGCGAATTTCGGGATGCGGACTACTGAGTCTGGACCGCGAGTCTGAGGCTGTGAGCGCCGATCGGCGAGTGGCATCGCGCAAAACTGAAAATAAAGGGCAGAGCAGTCGGAACGGCACGTCGAGTTGCTGCCGAATGTCCGTCGGAAGTTCCGACTGCTGCCTTGTGCTGGATCTGCACCTTAGCAAAGCGCGCTTTCGGCTCCTCCTCGGAGAGCCGAGAGGCTCGGAATGGAGCCGACGTAGCCAAGGATCGATTGCGTCGTCGAGAAGATGAGCAGAGATAAGCGCATGAGAACGAATAAGGCTGGGAGGCGTGGGAGGCATCTCCGAGGAAGTGCGGCTTTGCTTCCCGCGGAAAGGCCTTGGGATTGATGCTATGAGCGCGCGTTGCTCAGCTAAGAACCCGCGCAAAGCCTCGCCTTCTCCGCGGCGAGCGACACGTCGCTTGGCTCTCCACGTGGGATGGGCCTCGAATCAGGGCCGCGGATGCAGCTCCACCTGCAGGTGCAGCTCTAAGGCGAGTCGACAGCCGCTCTCCATGCAGCTGCTCCTGCTCATGCAATGCACTCTTGGCTGCAATCGCAAATTTATGGCATCGCCGAGCTCCGTCTTCCGAATCAAATGCTGTCAGTTGCAATGCTACGTAGCGCCTGATCCTCACGCACTCCGCCGAAGCGCCTTGCCTATATAGGCCCTGGGCCTTGCCGACCAAATGAGCTAGTCCTCACATCTCCCTCTGGTCGAAGCTCCTCGGATACCCATTCCCACACCCACGCCATGGCGGCCGCAACACAGCCCGTGACAGGCGTGGCCTCGTCTCCATCCACCCTGGGCGCAACCCACAATATGCGTTCCGCATCGTCGCTGTCCACGCCCGCTCCCAACTCTGTCAACGAGGCATCGCCCTCTTCGTCTCGTCCGGGCCCCAGCCACACACACGTTCCCGCCGGTCAAGACGTCTTTTCGTGGCGCGACATCACCTACGATGTGCTCCTCTCCAAGGCGCGTCGCAAGCACATCAAGAAGCACGGCACCGCCGCCGCGCCTGTGGAAAAGGCCACCGAGAACGAAAAGGCGCTCGAGGCAGAGAACGGTTCCTTCTCCCCCGCCGACTCGGAGGAGGTGCAGTTGGCGGAGCAGCAGGACGTATTCCCACACCTTCCGCCGCTCGACCCCATGCGCCGCCGAGTGCTCAACGGCGTCAGCGGCCACGTCAAGCGCGGCGAGATGGTCGCCATCCTCGGCGCCTCGGGCGCAGGCAAGACGTCGCTCCTCTCGGTGCTCTCGGCGCGCCTCGACAAGTCGTCCGAGATCGCGGGCGAGGTGCTCTACCAGGCCAAGCCGCGCGATCCCGCCACCTGGAAGCGGCTCACCGGCTTTGTCGAGCAGGACGACCTCATGTTTAGCGCGCTCACCGTCACCGAGACGCTGCAGTACTCGGCGGACCTGCGTCTACCCAAGCGGCTCTACTCGAAGCACGAGCGTCAGCAGCGCGTCAAGGACAGCATCGCCATGCTGCGTCTGGAAAAGTGTGCCGACACGCGCATCGGCGGGCCCAACCAGCGCGGCGTGTCGGGCGGAGAGCGCAAGCGCGTCGCCGTGGGCACCGAGCTCGTAGCCGACGTGAGCGTGCTGCTGCTCGACGAGCCCACCTCGGGTCTGGATGCGTTTGCGGCGCTCAACCTCGTCAAGAACTTGAAGGAGATCACGCGCGAGCGAGACCTGTATACGCTCATGACCATCCACCAGCCGTCGTGGAACATCTTTAAGCACTTTGACCGCGTCATCCTCCTCACGCGCGGACAGACGTACTACTCGGGCCCGCCCACCGCCGCACCGGCGTGGTTCGCATCGCTGGGCCACTCGCCGCCCGAAGGCGTCAATCCGGCCGACTTCTACATCACCATCGCCGAGAACTACGAAAAGACCAACGAGGCCGAGAATCGCGTGCGCGCACTGCTCTCGTCCTGGCGCACGGACGGAGACGCCTTCCTCGCGAACCATGCCGATAAGCTCGCCGAGCACGACGCGCAGGTGTCGGCACCCGCCATGGGCCGCACCATGTCGCGCATCGTGCCCAAGAGCAGCGACGCCAACGAAGTCGCCGGTTCGTGGCCCAACTCGTGGTGGCACGAGCTCGCCGTGCTCACCCGCCGCAACGCCATGCTCATCGTCAAGGACCCCACCATCGTCTTTGCCTCGTTTGGCCAGAACATCGTGCTGCTCATCATCATTGGCTTTGCATTCTTCCGGCTCAACCTCGACCAGGGTGGTGCCCTGGCTCGTATCGGCGCGCTCTTTATCGTGCCCGTAAATGCGTCGTTTGCAGTCCTCTTTCCCATCCTCGCCATCTTTCCGCTGCAGCGCAACATTATGCTGCGCGAGCGCTCGGCAGGCACATACCGCATCTCGTCGTTCTATCTGGGCAAGATCATAACCGAGGTGCCCAACCAGCTCTTACAGCGCATCCTCTTTTACGCCGTGGTCTACTGGATGGTCGGTCTGCGTCAGACGGCAGGTGCCTTCTTCATCTGGCTCGCCATCAACGTGCTCCAGGTGGGCACGGCCATCGGACTCGGACTCGTGATCGGATGTGGCGCGTCGTCGATCGAGCTGGCCAACATTTTCGCGCCCGTCATCAATGTCGTCTTCCTCCTCTTTGGCGGTAACTTGTTGCCACTGTCGTCGATTCCACCGTGGTTCATCTGGCTGCATTGGCTCTCGCCCATCACCTACACATACTCGGCTCTGGCGCAGAACGAGTTCCGTGGCCTCAACTTTGAGTGCGCCGCCGACTCGCAACAGTGCTACAGGTCGGGCCAGGACGTGCTCAACCAGTACGACCTCGAACGCTTCACCATAGCCGAAAATGCTGGCTTCCTCGGTGCCATCGCGGTCGTCTTTCTCTCCATCGGCTACGTGCTTCTCCGCTTCCTCGGCCGTCCGTCCTTCCGATACGTCAAGCCCAAAACACCGCTTTCGGCCCAATCTTCCTAGCGCATCGCGCATAGCCACATGATACCAAACCAATGATGAATGCGGATTGTTGTTTGCCATGCCAAGACGATGATGCTGGGGTGCTACAGGGTGTGAGGGGTCTTGGTGGGAGGTTCGAGTTTGATGGCGAGGAACTGGCGCGGGGTATGGAGGGTGCCTAGGGAGAACATGCGGTCAAAGAGGCCCTGGACCCACGACCGTGCTGCGCTCTGACATGCGCTCATGTGCAGTACCGAGGCATTGTCGAGTTCCCTCAGATGGCGAAAGATGACGCTGGGTTGGGGCGGTGAGAAGCGGAAGGCGTTTGCATACGCCGATTGCCACTTGTCGTGCAGCAGCCGCGCACACGTCTGTGGGTCCGCACAGCTCGCATGGCACTCGTAGTCGCGTGCCGGATTCGCCAGCCCCAGCTTGAGTAGCCGCTCCAAGAACCACGTTCGCTTGCGCTCGAGCTTGAGCAGCGTCTCTTTCGAAAGACACTCGAGCTCTTCCACCTCCCATGCTGCAAAGTTGTCCAAAACGTGTCGACTGGCTTCCTTGTACAGGTCATCCATACCGTGCAGCTCCGCCAGACGCATCGCCTCGATCGGTCGTCCTGCAAGTGCGGCTCGCAGAAAGTTGACGCAGCTCCGTCGAAGGTACGGCACCTGGAATTTGTCTGCAAACCGCAACAGCGGCCCGCAATTCCACCACGTCACCGCCAGATCCAGGTGCGGATAGATGTGGAACAGAAAGTCGTGAAACGTACCCGCCGCTTCCTCTTCCAGCTCAACAACAGCGACCACGCCTCGGTACCGCCCTCCCCTGCTGGCTCCTCGCTTTGCGCTCCGCTCCTCGGCGGCAGCTTTGCTCTCGTCGCAGACCGTTCCCGCTGGTGCTTCTGGCGGAGGGGCAGCTCCAACTTCGCAGCTCGTGCGTCGCGAGAGCGGCGGAGTGGCGAGCAACTCGAGCCTTGCGAGCGGACTCGCGCCCGAGCTGCTCGCTCCTGTGGAAGCCGCCACCAGGCTGCTTCCCGTCTTGCTCGTGCTGCGCGTGGGGATCGCCTGCAGCTTGGACGCCGATTCGAGCTTGCGCAGCGTCAGCCGCGCCGCCAGATGCTTGGACTTGGACCGCACCCGGCGCGACTCGGCTGCAGCCTGCTTGCGCTCCTGCCGCTCCACATCGGCGGTTTTGAAACGCTGCGCAGTATCGCCGTCTTCGTCAGTGTCGCTGACACTCGGGCCCTCGTCGACGCTGCCATCGTCGGTGCTCTCTGCAGTGTGCCCGCTGTCTTCCGCAGAGCTGCCTGCCGGGAGAGCAGAGTCGGCGATCGAGCACGACGATGTCGCCGCATCCTCCTGACTCCATAGCGCCGTGTGGTACGACGCACGCAGTAGACTGCGCCTCCGGCTATCCGTGACGAGGTGCTCCGGGTCTTGAACGTCTCCGGCCTCAGCGGCCAGCGCGAGCTTGTCGGTGGACGGCTCTGGATGGACAACGACGCGGTCGACGGAGGCTGCATCGTTGCCCTCCGGTGCCTGCAATGCGAGGTTGCCAGCGGCAGGCGAAGCTGTTTCACTGGCGCTGACGATGCCGTCGGCTTGCGGATCCTCATTGCAGACGGGCGATTCTTGAGTCTGATCAGCCTCTACCTCGCCAGGCGAGTCGTCTGTCGAACCTTGTGCAGCAGCGGCATCGGCGAGCTCGTCGTCGTTGAGCAGCGTCGACAGGCGCGACTCTTTCCAGTCTCCAAGCAGGACCGATGCAAAGAAGGGCGAAGAAAAGAGAAGGATATGCTTGTGTACGAAAAAGTCGACGCCCTCGACGCGGACGAGCACATCACCCCTATGCTCCGCATCGCTGCGGAAGGTCGGATGTAGCACAAACTCGTGATGCGTACTCGACGCGGTGGCCGTGGCATAATTGGCGTTCTTGAGCGCCAAGCCGCTCGACCACGACTTGGAGGTCGAGATGTTTTCGCGCGTCGAGATGGGCACTGCCGCCGTGGGCTGCGACACGGCCTGCTGCAGGTCCGACCGATGGTGCGAATGCGACACGCGAGGCAGCGCTTGCGAGCCCGCAACTCGACGCTCCTGTGCGCCACGCGCTGCTGATGTGCCGGCGTCTCGACCAGCCGCAAGTGTGGCGCCATCAAGATGATTGATCGTCGATAGGCTCGGTGGCACCAGCACTGTGGTGCGCCGCGCGATCAGCGCTGGAACCGGGTTGGTGGAGAATGAAGCTGGTGGCGGGTTCATGTTCGAAGACTAGCTCCGCGCCGAGACAGCCTTACTACGATCCGGGTTCGAGCAGCATAGGGTGGATGATCAGTGGATATCAGCGCTGTGTTGTAGATGGCGGTGGGAGGTAAAGGATCGAGACTGGTGAGGCTCAATTTGGACTGCCAAAAAGTGTGGCGCACGGACAGCTGCACGCTAAGCGCCCACATCTCGATTGGACCCTGGATTTCATACATCCCCTATCCGCTCCGCTCCGCACTTTAACCAAGTCTGCACGCAAAGCCGTAGTTCAGACGGCGCGACGAAGGCAAGTCAAGACGTCTCTAGCCAAAGGGTATATTGAAGCATCGGATAGAGGTGTGCTCATCAATCAAAGCGCTGCAGTCGACCACGGTCGCGCTTCATGCGCTCAGAGAGATCGACGCTGTCGCCAAACGTCTTGCGCTGCTGGTCGAGCAGGAAGTTGCCCTTACCGTCGCCGTGTCCCTTTGTGCGGGCATCGAGCAGCTTCTGGCGCAGCTCGGCCTCGCGACGCTCCTGCTCGGCTTCCTCCGTGTTGATCTTGCGGACGTACGAGCTGCGCTCCTGCTCCATCGACTTTGCATTCTGCTCCATCTCGCGCAGCCTTTGCAAGCGCACCTCCTCCTTGCGCGCATCGTCCTCCTCGGCGTTGCGCGGTCGCATAGCAGCTGGGCGGTCACGCGAGCCGAAACGGTCACGACGATCGTCCGTCGTCCTGCGAACATCCTGCGATTGCCGAGCACGGTCGTCGTGCGCTCGACGCTCCCGTGCTGGAGATCGGCTGCGGCTTCGAGATCGGCTGCGACTCCGCGGCCGTGTTGACTGCGCCGAGCCGTTGCGATCACGCTCTTCGTATCTGGAGCTGCGTCTGTCGTCACGGAAGGAATCCCTGTCTCGGTCCGCTTCGCGCCGGCGGTCCGGAGAGTGTCGCCTGGACGAACGGCGCTCGCTGTCTCGGCGACTCGGACTTCGATCTCTTGATGCTGCGGCGTCGTCGCCGTGCCGATGGTGTCGGCGACGACTGGATTCGCTTTGAGAGTCGCGATGGCGCGATTCCTTTCTGCGGTGGCTGTCGTGTTCGTCGTCGCGATGGCGTCTGCGACTGCTGCTGCTGCTTTCGTGTTCGTGGCGGCGTCGCTTCTCCTCTTTCCGACGTCGGCGCTCGTCCTTGGACTCGGCGTCCACGTCGATGCCTGCTTGGGCCTTGAGCTTGCGCAACCTGGCCGGGTCGCGCAGCAGCGCCTCGTATGCGGCCTGCTCCTGCTGCTTGATGGCGAGCATGGGATCCTCGCGCACCTTGGCGGCCAAGTCACGCGCCGAGTTGGCATTCTGCAGCGAAATCGGCCCCTGCTGGCTGGACTTGGATACCTTTTCCGCCTCATCTCCCTGCAGCAGCTTGTCGACGCGCTTCTTGCCGAGCAGATAGTCTTCCATCTCGGCGGCCGACTTGGAGCCCGTCGTGGCTGGCGTGGCATACATCCAGTCGACGCGGTCGACGCGCTTCTTGCCGCCGGCCTCTTCCTGGAGACGCTGGAGCTCCTGCATCTCGCGCTCCTGCTCGCGCTCGCGTCGAAGCTCCTCGAGCTTCTTGCGCTCCTCGATCGCCTCCTTTTCGCGCTTCCACACCCTCTCCTGGTTCGCCGCGACGAGAGGGTGCCACGACTTTTTCATGTTGAGGTCGCCGCCACCCATGGTGTACGGTTCGGCGCTGGCGCCGGTGGATGCACGGCACACGAGGTACCGTTGCGATCCAAGTAAGTAAAGGTGAGGATGGTGTCGAGAAGGAAGGTGGAGTGGATTGAAGACTGAGCCTCATGCGACCCGAACGAAGTTAATTAATTCGGAAAATCAATTTTAATTCACCTTTTTTGTTGGCTCACTCGTGCGAGAATGCCGCGTGACTGCGCAGAAGAAGAAAGGCGCGCAGTCTTGGCCGGTTGGGGGAGAGAGCGGCTGCGCAGAGGGCGACATCCGCAGATGCGCAGAGAGAGAGGAGAGAGAGGCAGAGGCAGATGCGCATCAATTCCGCCGCGTCGCAGCTTCGTCGCCATCATCCTTACCTCCATCCCTCCGCCTCTTCCACCCTCTCCCCCCCACCTCGTGGTTTGTTGCTCTTGCAACAGAGCCTCTGATCTGCATCTTTTCCAGCATTCTCGCCGACGTTTACGACCCTGGGTTCACCGCCGGTGCTGGCCGACTGCGTCCGATCACGCTCAACTTTCGTCTTTTAGGCCCTCGTTCGTTTGCTCTGCCAGCCCGATACGCAGCGTCGTGCGCATCAGCAGAGCGTGGCCTCCCCCACCTTCCGCCGCTAGCGGCCAACTAGCTCGGCCACTGCAGCTGCCAGCCGCTCTCCATTCGCTGCACGCATCGCCCTTCTGCATCGGTTGACGACGCAACCTCGGCGTCGCATCAGCTGCAATCATGGCGGACTCGGTGGCGTACGACAAGTACATGAAGGACACCTTCGAAGAGGGTCCCATCGACGTCGACGACATTGACGTGGCCGGCTACTCGTCGTATGCCAACGGCAAGGGCGTCGACTACGACAACGATGACGGCTACTCGGAGGAAATCACACAGGAGGACTGCTGGGACGTCATCCGCGCATTCTTCGAGGAAAAGGGCCTCGTGCGTCATCAGCTCGACAGTTTCAACGAGTTCATGTCCAACACCATCCAGGAACTCGTAGAAGAAGTCCGCAGCCTCACCCTCGAGCAGAGCGACCAGCACTCCGGCCATGCAGAGGACAAGACTCGCAGATACGAGATCGAGTTCGGCCAGATCTACCTCAACAAGCCCACCATGACCGAATCCGACGGCAGCTCCGCACAGCTCTTCCCGCAAGAGGCGCGTTACCGCAACCTCACCTACTCGGCATCGCTCTTCGTCGACGTCACACAAAAGGTGCTCGTCCAGAGCGAGGACGAGCTCGACCTCAACGGCGACGCCGCCTGGGTTCCCGAGCACGGCAAGACCGACGTGGACGAGCAGCAGATCTTCATCGGCAAGGTGCCCATCATGCTCAAGTCCGACTTCTGCTGGCTCAAGGGCCTCGACGACGAGATGTCCTACTCGCTCAACGAGTGTCCCTACGACGCCGGTGGATACTTTGTCATCAACGGCTCCGAAAAGGTCCTCATCGCCCAGGAGCGCATGGCCGCCAACCACGTCTACGTCTTCTCCAAGGCGCCTCCCGCACCCGTCACCTTCCTCGCAGAGATCCGCAGCGCCGTCGAAAAGGGCGGAAAGACCATCTCCACCATGCAGGTCAAGCTCTTCTCGCGCAACAAGGAGAAGACCGCCAACAACACCATCCGCGCCACCCTCCCCTACATCCGCAACGACATCCCCATCATCATCGTCTTCCGTGCGCTCGGCATCGTTCCCGACCGCGAAGTTCTCCAGCACATCTGCTACGACTTTAACGATACGCCCATGCTCGAGATGCTCAAGCCGTGTATCGAGGAAGCCTTCGTCATCCAGGACCGCGACGTGGCGCTCGACTTTATCGGACGACGTGGTACCACCACCGGTCTCTCGCGCGCCAAGCGTACCGTCTATGCACAGGAGATCCTGCAAAAGGAGATGCTGCCGCACGTCTCCACCTCCGAGGGCTCCAACACCAAAAAGGCCTACTTCTTTGGCTACATGATCCACCGTCTCCTCCTCGCCGCCCTCGACCGTCGCGAGATCGACGACCGCGACCACTTTGGCAAGAAGCGCATCGACCTCGGCGGGCCGCTCATGGCCAACCTCTTCCGCATGCTCTTCCGCAAGGTCACCCGCGACGTCTACCGCCACCTCCAAAAGTGTGTCGAGGAGCACCGCGAGTTCCACATCCAGGCCGCCGTCAAGTCGAGCACCATCACCAACGGCCTCCGCTACTCGCTCGCCACCGGAAACTGGGGCGACCAGAAGAAGGCCATGCAGGCCAAGGCCGGTGTCTCGCAGGTGCTCAACCGCTTCGCCTTTGCCTCGACCCTCTCGCATCTGCGCCGCACCAACACCCCCATCGGCCGCGACGGCAAGATCGCCAAGCCGCGTCAGCTCCACAACACCCACTGGGGCATGGTCTGCCCCGCCGAGACGCCCGAAGGTCAGGCGTGCGGTCTGGTCAAGAACCTCAGTCTCATGGCCACCGTCACCGTCGGCACACCCTCGGCGCCCATCGTCGAGTTCCTCGAAGAGTTTGGCCTCGACTCGCTCGTCGACATGCAGGTGGCGCACGCCAAGGCGACCAAGATCTTTGTCAACGGTGTCTGGATGGGCACGCACGACGATCCCGGCCAGCTCGTCGACACGCTGCGCGACCTCCGCCGCAAGGACGACATCTCGCACGAGGTCTCGGTGGTGCGCGACATCCGCGAGCGCGAACTGCGCATCTACACCGACGCATCGCGTGTGCTTCGCCCCGTCTTTATCGTCAACCCTCACGACATGACGCTCCTGATCAAGAAGCACCACGTCCAGATGATCGGTCAGCCCGTCCCGGCCACCGGCGAGGAGTTCCGCTGGACCCAGCTCGTCCAGGAAGGCGTCATCGAGTATCTCGACGCCGAGGAGGAGGAGTCGGTGCTCATCTGCATGACCACCACCGACCTCGAGCTCTCGCGCGAGTACAAGCAACGCAACGGCAACATCAACCTCACCTCCGCCGACCCCACCGCCCGTCTCAAGGCCGTCCACACGATCGCACCCGATACATGGACCCATTGCGAGATTCACCCCGCCATGACCCTCGGCATCTGCGCCTCGATCGTCCCCTTCCCCGATCACAATCAATCGCCAAGAAATGTGTAGTGCGTAGCCTTCCCTTGACGATCAACGACCTACACGACTCTTTGATACTGATCTTTCCTTTTCTTTCCTCTCAAAGTCAATCTGCCATGGGGAAACAGGCCATCGGCACACCTATTTCCAACATCCTTGCTCGAGCAGATTCGATGGCCCACGTCCTTTATTATCCCCACAAGCCCCTGGGAACGACTCGGTCGATGGAGCATATCCGATTCCGCGAGTTGCCCGCCGGCCAAAACTCGATCGTGGCGATCATGTGTTACTCGGGTTACAACCAGGAAGACTCGGTGATCATGAACCAGTCGTCGATCGACCGCGGCTTTATGCGCTCGCTGTACTACCGCGGGTACATGGCCGAGGAGAAGAAGGTGGGAGTGATGCAGCTGGAGGAGTTCGAGAAGCCGCACCGGGACACGACGATCCGAATGAAGCACGGCACGTACGACAAGATCGACGCCGACGGACTGGTGGCGCCGGGCACGCGGGTGTCGGGCGACGATGTGATCATCGGCAAGACGGCGCCGCTTCCGCCGGACTCGGAGGAGCTGGGCATGCGATCGAAGCTGCATACGAAGAAGGACGCGAGCATCTCGCTCAAGTCGACGGAGAACGGCATTATCGACCAGGTGCTGCTGACGACCAACTCGAACGGCAACAAGTTTGTCAAGGTGCGCGTGCGCAACTCGCGTGTGCCGCAGACGGGCGACAAGTTTGCCTCGCGTCACGGCCAAAAGGGAACGGTGGGCATCATGTACCGGCAGGAGGACATGCCGTTTTCGGCGGAGGGCATCACGCCGGACATTATCATCAACCCGCACGCGATTCCGTCGCGAATGACGATCGGACATCTGGTGGAGTGTCTGCTGTCCAAGGTGGCTGCGCTTTCGGGACAGGAGGGCGATGCGACGCCTTTCACCGAGCTGACGGTGGAGGCGGTGTCGTCGATCCTGCGCGGACTTGGGTACCAGTCGCGTGGACTCGAGGTCATGTACCACGGGCACACGGGACGCAAGATGCAGGCGCAGGTGTATCTGGGACCGACGTACTACCAGCGACTGAAGCACATGGTGGACGACAAGATCCACTCGCGTGCGCGAGGACCGGTGCAGATCCTGACGCGCCAGCCCGTCGAGGGACGATCGCGCGGCGGAGGATTGCGATTCGGCGAGATGGAGCGCGACTGCATGATCGCGCACGGCATCGCTGGCTTCCTCAAGGAGCGCATGTTTGACGTGTCGGATCCGTACCGGATCCACGTGTGCGATCTGTGCGGCCTGACGGCGCTGGCGAACCTCAAGAAGGGGACGTACGAGTGCCGATCGTGCCGCAACCGCACGGCCATCTCGCAGATCCACATCCCGTATGCGGCCAAACTGCTCATGCAGGAGCTGCAGAGTGTCAATGTGGCGCTGCGTCTGTACTAAAAGCAACCCGAAAAGCAATCCGATGTGTCACGCTTGTCAAACTCTTTTCAAAATGGCACGGCCGTCGTCATGGCGAGGGCGAGTTGCTTTGCGGGATTTGAGGATTGGATGCGGCAGTGAGAAGCTCGCGACAAAAAGGGGATGACGATGGGATTTGGCGTGCTTGAACAATTGCAGCCGGAAGGGAAAAAAGGACTCGCCAAAAAGGCGAGAGAAAAGAGGCATAAAATGTATTTAAAAAAGGACGACTTTGTTAGAGTGTCTCGAATGCGGATGGCAAGGGTTCGGGAGCGCATAGTGTTTGGCCGAGCGCGAGGGCGTTGTGGTGGAAGCGAGGGCGGCGAAAGGGGATGGCATGTGCCTCGGCTAGACGAGTCGAATGCATTGGACAAGTGTTGCACCCTGTGAGCGTTGCAGCGCAGACTGGTTGGGTTGGAAGGGGAATTGTTTTTGTGGGACGTTCTGCGTAGAAGCGCGCATGGCCGAGCGCAGTTTGGGATGCTGCATGATCGATGCCGATGTCCAAAGTCGCAGCTAAGGATGCAAAAGCCGCGTTGGGGTCATGCTTTGGACCTCCGCTCACCACTTGGACCCGGAGTAGCATCGTGACCGAGTCTTCGGTGTCCGAGGAGACTGTGTGGCATTCGGGAATGTCAAGCCGAAGAGAAAGAGAGAAAGAACGCGAGACACGACGCGTTGGGATGAGAGGGTCGTCTTGACTCCGACACTCACAACTAGCGGAGATGGATTCGAGCGGTGGTGCCTGCATGCCTTGAGCTGGCATCCGGTTGGACGCGGTGAGGATGCGCGTCGACGTCAATGTCTCTTGTCACCGAGGCCAAGGGTCCGTAACCGAGCCCCATAAGCGTGACATCTCGCTTGAGTTCACGTCCAGGTCAACATGGCGCAAGCAGGTGAGGCGGTCACAAGCGATGTACACAAGACGAGACAGGGGGAGGAGCATAGCTCGAGCTTAGGTACGTGCCTGCTCGCGATCGAGCTTGGCCGAGCGAACCGAGACATTGTTCAGCTGCCAAGAAACGGGCAACAATGCCAGTCCACCAACCATGCCAGACAATCCAGCACCACACGACAAAAGGACGACGAGCGACCAGACGAAGCCGACTCCGACCCTTGGCTCTGGGCTTTTTGTTTCGCGAGTTGTTTTGTCGAGACGCGTCGCGCGTCCCTCCCAACACCCCCAACACTTTCTTTTCTCGCTTTTTTTTTTTTTCTTCTTCGAGCTCCGTTCCGGCTCGTCACGGCAGCCAAGGGAGCAGCTGATGCAGACAAACGAGGCATGAATTTCGCCCGTTTGGTTTTTGGGATGCAAAATCATTGCCAGCATGCAACCGCGTCGCAAATGCTTGACAACCGTGCATGCCATTCGTCGCATCCCAGCCTGAGATCCCGACGCGCTTTTTTGCAAGAGCCAACGATGCGATGCCAACGTGACGCCGTGGATGCAGCAGCTGCATGGCTCGCCTCTCGCCCGGGGATGCCCGCCCGCTCGCGTTGGGTTGGTGCATCGGCAGTACACCGCGATCGCCGCTTGCGAATCCAATTCAACCGGCTCGCGTTCGGACATGCTGGCATCGGGTGATTTCAGGCTGCAGGGCACACAACACCACCACAATGCATGCTTGCTTGCATGCTTCCGAACCGCAGCACATTCAATGCCCTGCAGCTGGGCTCAGCAGTGGTGCATATTTTGGCCATTCTTACCAGCCAGCCATGCTTCGTGGCGTGACTCCCGAAAGAAAGGATGAAAACTTTTTTCTTTTTCTTTTTCAAGCGAGATCAACTTCGGCAGACCCAGGGTGGGAGCAAATTCATCTCGAGCGAAAAACACACGGCAACCGATCGTGTGCAAAGCAAAGATAGGCTTTGGACACCGAAATGAAGCCGCGCTCGGTCATGCAAAACTGCACCGGAAGTGCACCCGCCCAGTCCAATGAATGGTGGGGGATGAGCTTCATCGCCTGTTGTCAAGAATCGCATTTTCCTTTTTTTTTTCTTTTCTTTTCTTTTTTAAATTGGATTTGGATTTTGCGGCTTGGCGGGCTGGCAATTCGTGTTGGATTCATTCATGTGGAAGGCCAAGGCGGTGCGGCGGTGAGCAGTGCTGAGCAGCGCTGAGCAATGCAGAAGAGTGACAGCTGGCTGCCGTCCCCCCTTCAATCGCCTTTGCCTTACGTCGATGGCCGCTGGTCTCGCTCAACGCCATCACTTCCGACGCTCGACCCTCTCTCACCCTCTCTGGGCCAAACATCCCGACACGTTACACCGACGCGCGTCCGTCCCTTCGTGTCGACCCCTTGGAGCCGCTCCACCACCATCATCTCTGCCTCGTCCTCGAACCATTCGATTCCGTCCACCCTCACTCACGACAACGACACGCATACTCCCCTACAGCCTCAGACGCTCGACCGGCACACCAGCCCCTCTACCAGACCGCGTCGACAACATCAGCGCTCGCAGGTTTTTCGCTCGCTCGACTCGCTGCTCACGCTCGGACCCCCTCTCGAAGCTCTACATTCGGTCACATCGGCTCCCGAGTAATCACACTCCCGCTCGCATCACCGCGCCGTCACCGACTAGCACTGCATCCGCTCTACGGCTCGTCACCCGCTCCATCGCACGTGATGCTCTGATGCCTCGCGCCCATCCGCTCTAGCTCGTCTGCGCATACATCATGGCTGCCTCCCGCCCCGACGTGGCTCTCACCCAATCCACAATGTCGCTCGCACATCCACAATCACCAGCGCAGCCCTCGCCCGACTCGCCATCCCTCCACACAGACTCGATCTCGCGCTCCTCCTCGCCCATCATGTCGCCGCCACCCTCGCACGAGCACGACTCTACCATGCTCACCACCTTCGACTCGTCCATCACCCCACCAGACTCGGCCCGCTCGCCCGCAGATCGGCACGACAAGCTCGCAGCTTCGGCACCGGCCCAGCCATCTTGCTCGTCAGCACCCCTCTCGCGCGTCGCTTCCGCTGGTTTCCCGCCAGCCTCCACCAAGCCACCCGCCATCGGCAACGAGTCCAGCGCACTGCGAGCCACAGAGCACGGCGTCAGCCCCGTCATCAACGCCCTTCGCTCGCCCTATCCAGCCAGCCCGAGCTACTTTGTCACCGCCATCCCACCAGAAGACTTTCCCACCTCCTCGGAATCCACCAACGCAGAGCGCAACCGCCTCCAACGCGGCTCCCTTCTGCCTCTCTATCCCACCCTCGGCGGTCAGCTATGGGCCATCTCGCGCGAATTTGCCCTTCCCTCCGTCGGCGGTCTCCTCCTCTTCCTCGCCGACGACGGCCAGGGCAACCGCGGCCCCAGGATCGGCGATGCTGCCTGGCAGGCTCTCTGGTCTCGCTACTTTGCCGACGACGACCTCTCCTCCACATCCGCCGCCCACAAGCCTCCACCCAACTTTGCCCACAGCCGACGCTCCTCCGACGCCGCCGCCGACTCGTTTGCCCACCCTTCGTCGTCGTCCAGCGCACACGCCGCCGACCTCTCACGCTCCACCGTCGGCGAGGCCTCGTCCAGTCGTCCCACCATCCCCTACTATCGTCCCTCGCCCCGCGTAGACGCTCTTGGCTTTGGCCGCCGCGACGCACACACCGACTGGAGCCCATCCGTACGCAGCGCCGCCGCTTTCTCCGCCGGCCACCATCAGGCCAACCCACCACCACCACCACCCTTCCCAAGCCTTCCCATCGTCGCACGCATCGAGTGGCAGGTCGACACCGCAAAGGCGCCCTGGTGGCCAAGCTGGATCGCTTCCCGCGCAAACCCTCGCGAGAGGCCCTCCCATCCAACGCGCAAGAGCATGCACCTCGCACACAGCCTCTCGCAGTCGCAGGACGACGAGCCACAACACGAGTCGGATCGAGCTTTTGCCCAAGATCTGGCCCCAACATTCGAAGCCGAGATCGAGCAGCCTGTGCAGCCCAAAGTTCAGCAGCGCTCGCCCTCCACTGCATCAAATCACCAAGCCGAATCCGTTCGAGAAGCGATAGCGCAAAGGGAGGCGGCCTCCGATGCTGGCGTCAAAGCTGCGCCTCTCGAAGAAGCAGCACTCCACGACGACGGGCTGCAGCTTTTCCAGCAGCGCTTCTCCCAATCGTCCACCACCGCGCCTCTGCTAGACGAGGAGCCGCAATCCGAGTCTCAGCAAACGCAGCAGGCGCAAGACGCACCGCTGCCCACTCTGCCCACCAGGTCCGCCTCGCCGTCGGACGAGCCTGTCCAATCACAACGCGCCAGCATCGTCTCAATGAGCTCGGCCGCATCCGCATCACGCCCTGCTCTCTCCGTCTCACGCGCATCCATTCAGTCTAGACCAGTACTGCCCGCGCCTACTACTTCGTCATCGTCTTCGCACGAGGTGCAACAAGCATCTTCCCAGCACCAGCTCACACGCGATGCGCTTATGCCCAGCCACCGCTCCAACTCTGGCCAGAGTCGAACCGGCTACTCCGAGATCCTGGATGCAGCCGACGACGCCGAGACAGAGCACGACATCAGCTTCGGCAACGAGCCCCTCGCGCACGCCGGCGATTACTCGGCGCTCCCAGACTCGCCTTCCTCCGCTGCTCACGAGATCACTGCCTCGCAGCGCGGATCTACCTACGAACCAAAGGGTTTCGCGCTCCGCCACAGCTTCATCGTCGATGCCGGCGACGAGGCCATGTGGCAACATCTGCAGCATCACGACATCGATCCCATCCTCCCCGAGCCGGGCGAAACGAGCAACGCCGCGCCGTCCTTCGAGCACCAGCAGATTCCCGCAGCTTTCGACGACAACCCCCGCGATTTCGACACGCTCCACGCATCAGCCCTCGAGGCTGCCATGGCCCTGCCGCCGCAGCAGCCGATGCAGCAAGTGCCGACGCAGCACTACGCCAGCGACGCCGCCAACGATGTCTACTACAGCCCTCGACGCGACAACATGGCCCGCATCCAGAGCTGGATCGGCAAGACGCCAACCGGCCGCCCCAACTCTTCCGGCGCGTTCGACGACGACTTTGCCAACGACTTCGGCCACGGCGAGATGCAGCTGCCGCCAGAGTCGGACATCGACGAGGTCGTTGGTCTCTGGGCCAGCAAAATCCGCCAAGATCCGTATGCGGTGCCGCACATCACCGGGCCGTCGCCCTCGGTGCACGCGGATGACGATGCTGCCCAGGCCGTCGTTCGCTCAAGCGACGAGCCACACTTCCACATCCCATCGGCCGAGGCACACGAATCAGACGCCAGTCTCGAGGCAGCGCCGCCAGCCATCTCGCTGCTCAGCCCCATCCACCTCGACGCGGCGGCATTCGGAGGCGTCAAGCCTCAGCTGGGTGGCCTCACCGCATCGCTCTCGCCGCAGCTTTTGAGTCCCACGGCAGTCGGAGACGCCTTCAACACACCGCGCGCTCCACCTTCGCCGCGCTCCGTCTCGACGCCCATATTCCAGCACCACCCGCCCTCGTCGCCCGGCTCGCTGGCGCTGCCTCAAGACCGCCGCCCCAGCAGCGTCAGCCGTCGTAGCTCGGGCGATCTGAGCGACAGCCTCGAAGACATGCAGAAGGCGCTCGAGCTCCTCAGCCCCGGATGCTCGCCGAATCCTGGCGGCGGCAACAGCCCCGATCCCGCCGGTCGCAAGATGTCGAGCAGAGACAGCCTCGCGTACGCCCGCAGCCTCTCGGCCTCGGTCACGCCGAGCCCCAAGTGGATCGCGCGCGCCAAGGCTGCCACTGCCAAGAGCCGCAGCAACGCCAGAAGCCCCTTCGACCGCGCCCCGGTCTCGCCGCGTCCCGCCAGCACCTCGGCCGTGTCCGCGTCGCGATTCCAGTCGCCGCGCATCGGCATGCACGCGCCGCTCAGCGCATCCCGCTTGGTCGAGTTCAGCAAGGCAGACGCCGTGCCCCGCCTCGCAAGGACCGAGGTGGCTGATACAGAGTCGATGCGCTCCCGCGACAGCGTTCCAGAGGCGGCTGCCGGGGCCACGTCCGCTGGCGCCGAAGACACGCCCACAGTGACCGAGGACGCGCCCGAAAGCAAGCCCGTGGCCGCGCTCAGCTTGGACGCCGATGCAGCGCAGGAGCACGCAGATGCAGCGCAAGAGCACGCCGATGCAGCACAGGAGCACACCGAGTCGATCCAGGCCGGCACGCCCAAGGCTAGCCACCAAGCTCTCGAGGACGTCGAGTCCTCAGCCGCGGAAGAAGCAGCAGAAGCAGCGGCAGCAGCACCAGTCTCGGCCGTCGTGGCTGAACGAGCCATCGATGCGCCTGAAGCGGGGTCAGTTGCAGCACCCGACCATGACGGAGACGACACCACCGAGCTGTCAGCTTTCCTCGGGGACGACCACGATGACGGCATCGCCTCGATCCAACGCTTCCTGCGCGGCAAGGTCGTGTCAGCGGCGGAGTCCGACGCGTCCATTACTCAGGATCTTACCGTATCTGGCGTGGAGCAGCCGCAGACGTCCAGCGCAGACGGCACCATCATCGAACGAACGGTCAGCATCGACAGCGACATGGACTCGGTGCCGCAGCCGTCTGCGCCTTCGGAGCATGCGGACGCCGCGGACGCCGCCGACGTGATCGACAAGGAGCACGAGCATGACGAACATGCCGAGATTCAGGCGACGCAGGACGACGCCATCTCGAATGAGCGCTGGAGCCAGGTCTCGTACGCCACGGGCAAGCACACTTCGCAGATCCCGTCGCGCGTCTCGTTGCCCTCGGCCAGCTCGAGGCGTGACGAGCACCCCGAGGCGCGCACGCCCAACTTTACGTACGACGCGCTTCTGAGCTCCGAGCCCACCACGGCGGACACGCTGCTGAGCAGCACCAGCCGAGGTGACGAGCGTCTGTCGGCCGCCAGCGATGTGGTCAAGGCGTACCTGTCCAGCTCGCCATCGGACGAGGCGTTTTTCAAGTCGCCTGGCCCGTCGAAGCTTGAATCGGCGGATGCATCTGGACTTGGCCAAGGGGCAGCCTCTGCGCTTCCTCAGCCGATGTGGCAGCAGGACTCCGCAGCTAGCGACGCCGCCTGGCCGCACATCGACCAGGTGCCCGAGGTGAAGGACGAGACGAGCCAGGGAGGTGTTGTGCCGGTGCTTGCGTACCGCCTGGCGTCGTCGCCGGTGCACGCCAGTCCGTTTGGGATGAGCCGGCCGCTGGCTGGCACGCACGACTACAGTCTGGACGAGGAGGAGATCCGGACGATGAACGAGGACACGCGTGCGGCGGTGCGCGAGGCGCTGTCGCAGTCGACGTCGCACCATGTCAACCTGCCAGCGTCTGTTTCTGCGCCGCTGTCGCCCAAGAGCTCGACGTCGCCGACGCTGTCGAGCCACTCGTCGCTGGGCGACCAGTTCCGGCGACGCGGATCGACGTCGAGCCTCAACCTCACGTCGGCAGGGGCGGGCAGTGGCAGCAACACGTCGTCGCCCAATCTGGGTGGCACGACCAAGCGGCGTCCGGCGCGGCTGAATCTGGACATTGACGGGCTGGCGAGGTCTCCGCCCGCCGCGGCTTCGCGCAGGTTGCCGTCGACGTCGCCGCGCTCGCGCTTTGGCCAGCTGCCGCCCTCGCCGTCGCTGCATCCGAGCTACAAGGCGGCGACGTCGAGCCCGCTCTCGACGTCGTTCCCCATCATGGGCGCGCATCTGGGCAGCCCGCAGGGAAAGCACTTTCTCCCCTCGTTGCCCAGCGTCACCTCGATCGAGGCCGAGCTGGCCGGCTGAACCTACGCGCCCCGGATAGCGTCGCATCATGTAGCCAAAGTAGCGCTTGTAATGAGGCGAACGGTGAAGAGATAGAGTTTGAGCTTAAGCTTGCGAGTTTGAGCGTGGGTGGGGTGTGTTGCGGGAGTTTGCTGCAAAGCACGTACGTTGAGCTAGAATCGGATTGTGGTTGGAGCACTTTGGCTGACGATGGGTGGGTTGATGCGACCCAAAACGGAACGATTGGGCGGCTGTGACGCTGCGCTGGTAGGTGTGAGGCTGGCCACACACGACGGAGTAGCGACGGTGGGAATGCCGACAGCGACGACTGCACTCTTCGGCAAGATCGAACCTTGATAGCAACGAGTCCTGTCTGACAGGCACTGGACCAACGAACACAAGCCCCAAGCAGCTGTCAAAAGGTGGGCAACCACTGTCTACCGCATCTTTCGCAGTCAGACATTGGCGATCGCAAGCAGAATCAGCCTCCTCCGCACTGTAACGGCCGATCGCAACTCGTTCCCGCGCCTCACTGTCGTGAGCCTCACCAGACTTAGAGTACGCTTCAAACTGTGTTGATCGAGACGCAAGATTCATCTGCACCATCGCTGTCTGCATCCTCGTCTCTCGTCATCGTTCTCCATCGCCGTGTCGTTTTTGTAAGATCAATTTGACTCCTCTCGCTCATTCTCTGTTTTCGTGCGGGGCATGAGTGAGGATATTCAATTGCTTGTGCGGGTGTCAAAGTTAAGGTGGCGCAAGGTCGGCTTTCGCCAGCTATCTCCGCGAATGGCAAGCGTCTGTCAGCTACTCTCAGCGCTCAGGTTGTTGTAGCGCGCGTGAGCTTGTAGTGTCCCGCAACTTACGGCGCCCCATGCCCCCAGGTCGCCGAGCGCGTGGAGTCCAGCCGTGGTTGCCGGGTCGATATATTGGAGAGCCGATTTTTTGAAATATGTTAAGTTGGAGTCGTGGACCTCCACCCCTCAAATGCCTGGCGGAGCGACTCGAGGTCTTGGCACGCACACCACCATCTCGAAGCTGCGGACGCTGCGGATCACTCGGAACTCAGGCACATAGAACCCGCTTGGGCGTTGGCGCAATCATGTCGCTGCTTCGACCGTTCCGGGCGACGGATCTGTTCAAGTTCAACAATGTCAACCTGGACCACTGGACGGAAACGTACACACTGTCGTTCTACCTCTCGTACCTTGCGCAGTGGCCCGACCTGTCGTTCCTTCAGACCGCGCCCTCTTCGGGACGGACGATGGGGTATGTTATTGGCAAAGCCGAGGGTCGCGAGTCCACCTCTTGGCGCGAAGCTCCTACACTGCACGGCCACGTGACGGCCATAACGGTCGCACCCGAGTACCGTCGATTGGGACTGGCCAACGGCATGATGCATCTGCTCGAAGACGTCTCGAACCGCGTCTACAATGCGTACTTTGTGGATCTCTTCGTAAGACCCAGCAACACCACTGCCGTCACAATGTACGAAGGACTAGGGTATGGCGTGTATAGAACAGTCAAGGACTACTACTACAAAGGCGGCAAGGACGGTGGAGACGAAGACGGCTTCGACATGCGAAAAGCCCTGCCGAGAGATAAGGACAAGAGAACCGTAAGGAGCAATGGCAGGAACTTTACCGTACAACCAGAGTAAGTCACAAACTCCCCCTTGTCACCATCACTGTTTACTGACTCTTCGTTATCGTTGCGCACACAGAAACACGATCTTCGAACCAGCCTATCGACCTTAATACAGTGACATTCCCGCGCTTATGACGATGGCGTTTGAAACGGTCGATCAATGCGAAGCGCACGCGTGACGCGCAGAGGCATACAGTACGTCGGATCGACCTGTTGCAACCCCTCGAATCCCAACAGCGAAAGTCCTGCTCCGACAAAGACCCAGTCAGCGTTTTGATCCCGAGTCCTTCGCGTGCACTGCCAACTTACCTGCACATCCAAACACGGTGTGGAAGACGTCGGTGACGTTGTCCGGTCGATCGGCAATGCCGCCCTCGTCCGGATCCTGTGCCCACACGCCCCAGGGTGATGTTGGGTCAATTCTGCGCCACTGTGGAGGATGGGTTGGTGGGGACATACCTGTGCCGAGAGGATAAAGTTCTTGAGCTTATCCGCGTTGATCCAGTGCAGCCTGCGGATGACGCTGAGGGTGGACAGCACCCACCAGCTGTAGCAGACGTCCTCGAGCTTCTGCGGTCGCCCGTTGAGGCCGCCATTGGGCAGCTGTCTCTCGGCGAGCCATGCGCCCACGCGGTCGCAGTCGATCTCTTCCAGAGCCTCCAGGATCGATAGCGCGCCCACGCTCACCCACGCTGCCCAGTTCAAGGAGGAAGAGTCAGCATGCGGTCTCGAGATTGGCAAGATTGGACAAGAGCGTACCTTGTGCGGCGTGGCTTTCTGCGCCTGGGTCGGTGCCGAAGCCTCCGTCGGGATTGTGGCATGCGAGGATGTAGCGCACGGTGCGATCGCGGTCGAGCTGGTCGAGTGCGCCCAGATGCGCAAGCGCCGATACCGCGCAGTACAGGAAGCGCGTATCAATCTCGCCCCACTTGTCGCCCTGAATCGCACCACTTGGCAGCTGAAGCCCCAATAGAACTGCACCGCCGGAGATCAAGGCCGGTTGATCAGCGACTCTGCTTCTCGCGTTCCGGCTGATGTGGAGAGCTGCTTACACTGTACGAGTCTGTCACGGACGCCTCTGGTATCGAGTTCGTCTAGCGCGTCCTTCATGGCGAGGATCTGGATGGCGGAAAGCGTGCTGTGCACGTGCGCATCGTGGCCCGGAAACGAGCCAAAGCCAGCGGTGTCGTCGTTCCAACAGCTAAACACAAAGTCGATGAGCGCCTGGCGGTCGAGCACCTCGGGTCTGCCCAGGATCTCGAGCGCTGCGAGGCCCCAGTAGACGCCGTTCATGCGCAGGTGCGTCGTAAAGTGGTAGGCGAGCGAGTCGCGCTTCTTGTCGAGCGCCTCGACGAACGCGACGTGCAGCGGGATGAGCAGCTCGCCCGGTGGTGCGCGCGGTGTTGCGGCTGCTGAGGATGTCGACATTGTGCATCAACGCCCCCGTGTGCTGTTGAGCTAGGGTGAAGATCGTGATGTGCGAAAGGGAGGAGGAAGGTCGTTGAGATGCCGGCCTGACCAACACCTCAAAAAGGCCGATCGCCCGATCGAGACGCGCCTCCACTTTTGGCCGTCTTCGCGCCGACTCAGCCAAAAGTGTTACTTTTGGGTCCATTCCACAGGGACCCTTCCTTGTCATCTGTCACCCACCTCATCGACCGCTGCCTCAACAACCGCGGCGGCTCAGACCAGCTCAGCTCGTCCCACTGACAGCGTCTTCAATGCTGCATCTTCGCCTCTTCACCACCACAGTCACTCGCGGCTGATCCGCTTCTGCAGCCACACGCTCACGCCACGAGACATCATGGCGCCGCCTTCGCAAAAGCCAGCTGGGGCGCAGGCCACCATCAGCGCCTTCTTCAAGCCCAAACCCAGCTCCAGCTCCAGCTCCAACGGCGCTAGCTCATCTGCCGCCCGCCCTCCATCAGAGCCTCCATTCAAGAAGCCACGCCTGGCTGTGTCCGAGGCACCTCGCCGCGAGACCTTGGCTCGCATGGACAGATGGCGCTTCGAAAAGGACACCTCCACCACCACCACCACCAC